TGTTGATCTGATGCACATGGTGATGGGACAGGTGTTGGGGGTTTGGTGTGACAGAGACAGGTGGTGCTCTCCCCTCCTCCCCCACCTGTGGAACACTGATGGCTGCTCATGGGAGCGGCCAGGTTAATTTGCAGCCATGCCGTGGTGCCTGGGACAGCGCAGTGTGAAGGCTGGCTGCTCCTGCCTCCCCTCCCTCGTGCGGATCCCTACAGATCAGTGCAGTCCTTTGTTCCGCAGTCCGGGGCAGCCATGGAGGCCCTGTGCTGTGTCCACGTATGAGCAGTGCTCCATGTAACATGGCCGGCTGGCCTTGTGAAGGACAGCCCAGGCCCATCACAGTTCTTGCTGGCCCCAAGCCTGGTGATTATGACCTTTTTCCCACTTGCCATTGTCCCTGAAGATGGAACATTTTTGCTAATATCTGAGGAGAGAGTTTGACTGCACTTCGGATATGTTGTAGCAGGCTTTGGTTCTAGGGACAGATCATAAAAGCACTGACTGAGCTTCAGGACTTTTGTCTGACTCCTGGCTTCTCTTGTGAAATGGATGTTTATGAAAGCTGTAAGGCTCATTTGACTTACTGCTGAGCCTTAGGAGCCTTCGAGAAAACACAGCTTTCCATAAATAAGTGATGCTCTTATTTATTTATTTATTTGTTTATTGAGTCACCCTTTATCACCCAGGCTGGAGTGCAGTGGTGTGGTCTTGGCTCACTGCAACCTCCGCCTTCCGGGTTCAGGTGATTCTCCTGCCTCAGCCTCCCAGGTAGCTGGGACTACAGGTGTGTGCCACCACGCCCAGCTAATTTTTTGTAGAGGTAGAGTTTTGCCATGTTGCCCAGGCAAGCTGGTCTTGAACTCCTGAGCTCGGGCAATCTGCCCACCTCGGCCTCCCAAAGTGATAGCATTACACGCATGAGCCACCAGGCCCAGCCTCTTATTTATTTATTTTTGTTTGTTTGTTTTGTTTTGTTTTTGGAGACAAGGTCTCTCTCTGTTGTCCAGGCTGGAGTGCAGTGGCACGATCTTGGCCCACTGCAGCCTCGACTTCCTGGGCTCAAGTGATCCTCCTGCCTCAGACCCCTGAGTACCTGGGATTACAGGCACACACCACCATGCCTGGCGAATTTTTCTAAATTTCATAGAGATGGGGATTGGCTGTGTTGCTGAGGCTGGCCTTGAACTCCTGAGCGATGCGCCTGCCTCGGCCTGGTTTACAGGTGTGAGCCACCACACTTGGCTGAGTGGTACTCTTAGGGTGCCCATTCCCGCCATGGGTTCTATGTTGCTGGTCACATTTATACCATATGCCAGGCACCAGTCACCCTGTGCAGCCTGTGCACAGACCCCAAACTTAGGGAAAATTTTTAGTTGATGAGATTTGGGAGTCTCTAATTAAAGAGTTCACTTTGATCTTGGTGAGCCTACAAGTCCGAAGGGCTCCATGCTTCAGGGAAGCCAAAGCCTAGTGCGTGCTCCAGCTGCTCAGCTTCTTGGACACATGAGAACATTTCTCCACCCTCAGGGCTGCAGCCCACCTTCTACGGAACTGGGAACCTTATGGTTCACATTCTGTTTGGCTTGGATTTGTGTCATAGCTGGGCTCAGTGGCTCACACTTATAATCCCCGCACATTGGGAATCTGAGACTGGAGGATGGCTTGAACACAAAAGGTTGAGGGCTGTGATGAACAGTGATCAGTTGCACCACTGCACTCCATCCTGGGCAACAGAGCAAGAGCTGGTTTTCCCGCCTCCAACAAAAAAAGATCACAAAAGAAAAATCCGTAATCCCACTACTTTAATGACCATGTTTTTCATGTTGTGGTTTTCTTGTTAGTATCTTCTGTAGATATGCCTGTAACACTTTGCAATGTTAGTATTTGTAACAATTTTGTATTCTTTTATATATGTATATTCCACTTTCCAATTGGGTGTAATTTCAAGCTTATAAAAAAGTTTCTGGAAGAGCACAGAAAATTTCAATATCCCCTTAACCCAGACATACCACTTGCTTTAATGTTGTAACCGTGTTTCCATAGCCTTTATATCTACTTCTAAGGACTGTATAATATTCCATTGAGTGTATATGCCCCAATTTAGTTAATCTTCTCTTTGTCGTGAGCATGTGGGCTATTAAAAGCTTCTGCTGTGATACCCAAAGCTGCAGTGGAATATTTTATAAATGTGGCTTTAAAAGTCATTCTCTTGCCGGGCGCGGTGGCTCAAGCCTGTAATCCCAGCACTTTGGGAGGCCAAGGCGGGTGGATCACGAAGTCAAGAGATCGAGACCATCCTGGTCAACATGGTGAAACCCCGTCTCTACTACAACTACAAAAGATTAGCTGGGCATGGTGGCGCGTGCCTGTAGTCCCAGCTACTCAGGAGGCTGAGGCAGGAGAATTGCCTGAACCCAGGAGGCGGAG